ACTTGCCTTTTTTCCCTCATCAATTCTATGATTAACCTCATCCTTCATAAATCCATCCGCCGACACGTCAACTCCCAAGTATCTGAAAGCATTCACTTCTTCCATACTACTCCTTCCCAATTTGATATCCAATTTTTCTTTATCTAAATCATTTGATACCCTCATCACCTTACTCTTTTCAATGTTCACTTTCAACTTTCTACTTTTACACACACTCCCAAACTCATCCACTAACCTTTGCAATTTTTCTTTATAATCTCCCATAAGCACAGTATCATGAGCAAAAAGTAACTGTGTCAATTCCCATTTTGTATTTGATTCCCCATAATTTAATCCCACTCCTCTCCCGAACACCCTAGCATTTACTTCTTTTACAACCCCATCTATAAATATATTAAACAACCATGGTGACATTACACATCCCTGTCTAAGACCTACTTTTAATGGGAAGTAGTCTCCCTCTCTTCTACACACCCTTACCTGAGTTTCACTATCCTCATAAAAACTCTTTACAGCATTTAATAACTTACCATCTATTCCATATACTTGCAACATCTGCCACATTGCTCCCCTATCCACTCTATCATATGCCTTTTCTAAATCCATAAATGCAATAAAAACTTCCCTACCCTTATCTAAATGCTGTTCACGTATATGCTTCAATGTAAGCACTTGATCTACACATCCCCTACCCACTCTGAAACCTCCTTGCTCATTCGCAATCCTACATTCTGTCTTACCTCTAATTCTTTCAATTATAACCCTACCGTACACTTTTCCTGGTATACTCAGTAAACTTATTCCTCTATAATTTTTACAATCTCTTTTGTCCCCTTTCCCTTTATATAAAAGGACTATACATGCTCTCTGCCAATCCCTAGGTACCTTCCCCTCTCATACATTTATTAAACAAAAGTACCAACCACTCCAACACTATATCCCCCCCTGCTTTTAACATTTCTGCCATGATCCCATCAGTTCCAGCTGCTTTACCTCCTTTCATTCTACGTAATGCCTCACATACCTCCCCCACACTTACATTCTGCTCTTCTTCACTCCTAAAAGATGGTATACCTCCCTGGCCAGTGCATGAAATTACTGCCTCCCTTTCTTCATCAACATTTAAAAGTTCCTCAAAATATTCTCGCCATCTACGTAATACCTCCCTCTCCCCATCTACTAACTCCCCTACCCTGTTTTTAACTGACAAATTCATATGTTCCCTAGGCTTTCTTAACTTGCTTAACTCTCTCCAAAATTTTTTCTTATTTTCATTAAAATTTCTTGACAGTGCCTCTCCCACTCTATCATCTGCTCTCCTTTTGCACTCTCTCACCACTCTCTTCACCTTTCTTTTACTCTCCATATACTCTGCTCTTCTTATAACACTTATGCTTTGTAAAAACCTCTCATAAGCTAACTTTTTCTCTTTTATCACACCCTGTACTTCATCATTCCACCAATCACTCCTCTTTCCTCCTGCCCCCACCCTCCTATAACCACAAACTTCTGCCCCACATTCTAATACTGCATTTTTAAAACTCATCCAACCCTCTTCAACCCCCCCACTACTCATCTTTGCACAAGCCCACCTTTCTGCCAATAGTCGCTTATATCTCACCCGAACTTCCTCCTCCCTTAGTTTATACACTTTCACCTCTCTCTTACTTGTTGTTGCCACCTTCCGCTTGTCCCATCTACCTCTTACTCTAACTGTAGCTACAACTATATAATGGTCCGATATATCAGTTGCCCCTCTATAAACATGTACATCCTTGAGCCTACCCATCAACCTTTTATCCACCAATATATAATCTAACAAACTACTTTCATTACGTGCTACATCATACCTTGTATATTTATTTATCTTCTTTTTCATAAAATATGTATTACTTATTACCAAATCTCTTTCTACACATAGCTCAATTAAAGGCTCCCCATTTACATTTACCCCTAGCACCTCAGATTTACCTACTACTCCCTCCATAACATTTTTACCCACTTTAGCATTGAAATCCCCAACCACAAGTACTCTCACACTTGGTTCAAAACTCCCCACGCATTCACTCAACATTTCCCAAAATCTCTCTCTCTCGTCTACACTTCTCTCTTCTTCAGGCGCATATACCCTTACTATAACCCACTTTTCACATCCAACCTTTATTTTACTCCACATAATCCTTGAATTAATACATTTATAGTCCCTCTTTTCCTGCCATAGCTTATCCTTCAACATTATTGCTACTACTCCTTTAGCTCTAACTCTATTTGAAACCCCTGACCTAATCCCATTTATTCCTCTCCACTGAAACTCTCCCACCCCCTTCAGCTTTGTTTCACTTAAAGCCAGGACATCCAGCTTCTTCTCATTCATAACATCCACAATCATCTCTTTCTTATCATTTGCACAACATCCACGCACATTCAGACTTCCCACTATTGTTCCCAGCATTTTAGTTGACTTTTACAACACGCATGGCTTACGGAGGAAAGATTCTTATTCCACTTCCCCATGGATATAAAAGGAAAAGTAATAAGACCAAGAACTATTAAGATGAAATCAAAGAAAACTCAGATGAGTGTGTATAAATAAACGTGTACATGTATGTGTAGTGTGACGTAAGTGTAAGTAGAAGCAGCAAGACATACCTGTAATCTTGCATATTTATGAGACAGACAAAAGACACCAGCAATCCTACCATCATGTAAAACAATTACAGGCTTTCGTTTTACACTCACTTGGCAGGACAGTAGTACCTCCCTGGGCGGTTGCTGTCTACCAACCTACTACTGTAATCAAATATTTACCAAAATTCATATATGGCAAGCCCAAGCCAGGTGTACTAGAAATAAGCCACTTTGACTTTTTTGGGTTATCCTAGGTTCACTACACATATGCTGCTATGTATGATAATCTGTGTAGAGAAAATAACTTTTTAGTTTCAATTTTATGGTGCAGTATGAGTGTATATCACAGTCAGCCCTGTGCTATACTCCGTTTTCTCTAATGTAAGCCCCCAAGACAGGGATAGAAGGGTACTTGTATCCCATATCCTCTTCATACCTTTGTCGAACCGCTTGGTATTATGCCAAACATTATTAAATCTGGAGTGTTTAGCATGTTTTTATGTCATTCATATTTTTATTATGTCATATTAGATCAGTTGTGATAAGCAAATAAGCTGTAGTGTTGATATTAGCATAATAATAAAGCATATTCCCCTACATCACAAGACTGAGCTCAGGGCAACCGACAGTGGCTTCAAAGCCACAGTATCTTTTATGGACAATGTACTGTGTATGTGCTTTACACAACGAGAAACATTTTTTATTTGTTGGAACCATGGCTAAGGCTAAAAGTAAGCCGGTTATAATAATAAATGGAAAAAAGAGAAATTGGAATGACTTATGCAGCAAGTAGCGCCACCAAACTTGGAGTGTTTTAAACTTCTTTCTTTCAACACACCGGCCGTATCCCACCAAAGCGGGGTGGCCCAAAAGGAAAAACAAAAGTTTCTCCTTTTACATTTAGTAATATATACAGGAGAAGAGGTTACTAGCCCCTTGCTCCCGGAATTTTAGTCGCCTCTTACAACACGCATGGCTTACGGAGGAAGAATTCTGTTCCAATTCCCCATTGAGATAAGAGGAAATAAACAAGAATAAGAACTAGAAAGAAAATAGAAGAAAACCCAGAGGGGTGTGTATATTTGTGCTTGTACACGTATGTGTAGTGTGACCTAAGTGTAAGTAGAAGTAGCAAGACATACCTGAAATCTTGCATGTTCATGAGACAGAAAAAAGGACACTAGCAATCCTACCATCATGTAAAACAATTACAAGTTTCTGTTTTACACTCACTTAGCAGGACAGTAGTACCTTCCTGGGTGGTTGCTGTCTACCAACCTACTACCTGGGTGGCCCGGTGGCCTGGTGGCTAAAGCTCCCGCTTCACACACGGAGGGCCCGGGTTCGATTCCCGGCGGGTGGAAACATTTCGACACGTTTCCTTACACCTGTTGTCCTGTTCACCTAGCAGCAAATAGGTACCTGGGTGTTAGTCGACTGGTGTGGGTCGCATCCTGGGGGACAAGATTAAGGACCCCAATGGAAATAAGTTAGACAGTCCTCGATGACGCACTGACTTTCTTGGGTTATCCTGGGTGGCTAACCCTCCGGGGTTAAAAATCCGAACGAAATCTTATCTTATCTTATCTTACCTAGGATTTTTCTTTTTATGTTTATTATACAGTAAAAGGATTATTAGCCCTTGGTCCTGGCATTTTAGTCACCTCTTACTACATGCATGGCTTATGGAGGAAGGATTCTTCTTTACTTCCCCATGGAGTGTTTTAAACTTATTGTATGAAAATGTTGGAGCTGTGTAGGTATGTGAACTCTGACTATACACTTTTATCTTCCTTTCTGTAGATGTCTTTCCCTCAGCCTCCACTTCTCCCTCTCGACTTTTCATTTCCTTCTAGTGCTGCATGTTCCATGTATCTTGCCTCTGGCAAGACAGTGATAGTGTGAATGATAGTGAAAGTGTTTCTTTTTTGGGTCACTCTACCTCAGTGGCAGACGGCCGGTGTGTTAAAAAGAAGAGAGATTGTGTAGCATAACCAGTTATTGAGTACTTTATATGCAAGAATGGTTGAGTGCATGAGAGAAGAGTTCTTCATTAGGAATAATAATAATGAAAACCTAAATAAGAATGTTACAGTTGGAGGATTTTAAGTGAAACATTAAATTGTTCTCCTGAAGTTTATAGAGCGAAGCCACAGTGATAAAAAATTGTGAAGTTACATTGTAATACAATTTGAGTGTAAAAGTAGTAGAACACACTCATGAATTCACACACAGTACATTACTGCACATGTATGTTAGTTGATTTGTACACTTGTCATTTATTTATTAAGTGTTTTTGCTTGGCTTATGTTTGTAGTAAAAAATACAGCTATAATACAGGATGTGTTTGTAACTACTATTTTCATCATCAGGTTCGCAATAAAGAGGAGACTGAATATAAATATTACTGTGGATGTCGAGCTTTCAAGATTCAGCCAGCAGCTCGAGATGTTACCTTCCGTAAATGCGTTCATCTTTATGCTTGTGTGGTGGCTTTTGCAAGTGATCATCAACTCTCTCAGGAATTTTCTTACTATATCCATATGATTCAGAAGTATGTTGACACATTACAACTTGAAATATTGTACAGATTCACTTACATGAAAAATTTGAAATTAATAAAATGTTTAAGCACATAAATACAGTTTTGTTTATTTTATTTTTTGTTTGTTTTTTCTCGCTGATTTTATTTCTGCCTTAGGTTTCAGTGGTAACTATTTTATGACTAGCTCTTACAGTTTTCAAGTGGTGAAGGAAAGGAACTACATTTAGTGATTTTATTTTTAATTTTTGATTTTCTGTTAAATTTGTATCTAATCATATTACTTACCATCTTATCCTTTATTTGAACTACCATATTCTAATAATTTCTTTTTTCCTTCTGAAGATTAGCTAGATCATTTTTCTTCACCAGCTCAGTTCTTAATCCTTTAACATTCTTCTACCCCTAATGGAGTACTTTTTAGACCTATTTTGAGCTTTTGCTGAGCCAAATCAATGAATACATGTTGGCCATCACTAATCCGGCAATCAGTTATCCAGTTCCATCAGTAATCCGGCACTAATTTCAGTTAGCATAATTTCAAATTTCATCAATATACTGACTCAGAAATTGTGCAGATGGTTGTAAATCCACAGCAGCAAACCAGTGGAGAAGAAAGCAATGATGAAAATGAGGAAGTTGTAGCAGAAAGTCTCTCTATTGATAGGTTAATTAAGTGTATTCTAACCTAACCACTCTGTAATCCAGCAAACTCACTAATCTGGCACACTACAGGTCCCAGTGATGCCAGATTAGTGAGGGCCGACCTGTAGTATATTGTTGAGATTGTTGCAAGCCAATAAAACAGCTCTTTGCAATCCTCAAATAAATCATAACCTTAACTCTCTCCCAAGTGGAGTGAGGAGTTGAGATGTGAAGCAGTATAATTCTAGACCTGGGGGATTATGTTTCTCGATTGTTCACAGTTATGAGTGAGTATAAAAAATGACTGGACTTGCTTTCAAAAATTCATAATAAAAAAAATTAAGGTATGGCAAAATTTACTAGAATGAAAAGGTCTTAGAATGGACCATTTTATAATATATTTGAAGCATGTTCAAATTCCTTCAATATTTCCAGTCTCACTCCTTTTCCCAACATCCCTGCATTAACTTCTCTTACAACCCCATCTATAAATATATTGAACACCCATGGTGACATCATGCATCCCTATCTAAGACCTACTTTTACTTGGAAATAATCTCCCTCTCTCCTACGTACACTGACTTGAGCCTCACTGTCCTTGTAAAAAACTCTTAACTGCTTCCAGTAACTTACCACCTCTTCCATACACTTGGCAATGTTTGCCACATTGCTCTCCTATCCTTTGTATCATATGCTTTTTCTAATCCAGAAATGCAATGAAAACTTCTTTACTGCTCACTCATTTGCTTTAATGTAAACACTTGGTCTGTGCATCCTCTGCTCTTCCTAAAGCCTCCTTGTTCATCTGCAATTCTCCTATCCATGTTACCCTAAATTCTTTCAATAATAACTCTACCATACAACTTGCCAGGTACAGTGGGCCCTCTGTCGTCGGCCATAATCCGTTCCAGAAGGTCGGCCTAAATCCGAAAAGGCCGAAAACCGAAATAATATTTCCCATAAGAAATAATGTAAATCCAATTAATCCATTTCAGACCCCAAAAGTATTAACAAAAAATACATTTTATAGAGAATAACTATAGCTTCACATACACAAAGCAATGAGAAATAAATATAATGCACAAACTTTAATAATAAATGAACATTACATACCTTTATTGAAGACTCTTGTTGGCGTATTGAAGGCGAGTAGGGGAAACGGAGTTGGGAATCCCCCTCCATGAGGACTTCAGGTATCAAAGCCCTATCTAGTGTTACGTCCCTTCTTTGTCTTTTACTGCCACAGTACATTCATTACTTACCTTAAAATAGTATTTATTTTTAGGAATTCAGTGTAGGTAGCCGGTAGATGTAGGTACACGTATGTAGTCCCCCTGGGCTACACTACACAGCCATATTATTACACTACACAGCCATATTATTACATCGACATACTACCATGTTCACTGAGTTAAATCGTTTCTAACAACTACCTTTAGATGCCATAAACAAAGGGAGAAGTAATGAATTATTCATGCTGAGAATTGTAAACAAACGCTTATGAAGAGAGGTGGATGGACCAGACGCTAGATTCACAGTTTTCTCTAACGCTGAATCAGAGAAAAATGTAATGTTTACCCTCCACCCTCCTCCCTACCTCCCTCCTTGATTCGCCAGTACTCACCACTTGATAGCATATAAACATTGCATGTTTATATGTTATGTTTATATGCTATATGCTATATAACGTGTTTCTTATATAACTTTGAAGAGAATATCGTAGATGGATTAATGAAAATGTCTATATTAATGTAAAATAAGACATTTAATGTGCCCAAGAGTGATTGCTATTACACATACATCACATATAAACATTACATGTTTTTATATACGTACTCTGTAACGTGTTTCGTATATAATTTTGAAGAGAATATCATAGATGGATTAATGAAAATGTCTATATTAGCATAAAATAAGACATTTAATGTGCCCAAGAGTGATTATTATTATGCGTCCAATATGGCCAATCTCCGAAATAACAGCCGAAAACCGGGAATAGAATTTCAGCCAAGAAAACAGCCAAAATCCGAATTAGCCAATACCCAGAACGGCTGAAAACCGAGGGTCCACTGTATACTCGACAGGCTTATTCTCTTATAATTCATATACAGTGGACCCCCGAGTTTCGGCAGCATCGACTTTCATGAAATTCGACTTTCGGCAAGTTTTTTCGGCAAAATTTGGCCTCGAGTTTCGTGATTCGACTCGTGATTCGGTGACCGTCCGGTACCCGTCTTCCCATCACCGTACACACAAAGCCAGCCTCCCACGCCATTCATGCTCAGTGTGCCATTGTTTACCAACATGTGACTATCGCCCCGCGGGTTCATACGTAATAATCCATTGTTTTTTGTGATTGCAACTGCTAAATAAGTCACCATGGGTCCAAGGAAAGCTAGAGCAAGCCCTTTGGTAAAGAAAGCGAAGAACACGATCCAGAGGGATTTTGAAGGGTTTGAGGCAGACCCTGACCCTGCCGACCCTCTGCCTGTTGTGGAAAGTGTTGTGGCATTGGGCAAGTCCATGGGGTTGGAGGTGAGTGACAGGGATGTGGAAGAGTTGGTGGAGGACCACAGGGAAGAGCTAACCACTGACAAACTGCAAGAGCTTCAACTGGAACAGCATCAGACCACAGCTGAGGAACTTGCTTCAGAGGAGGAGGAAAAGAGAGTGAAGGAGGTGCCTTCTTTGGTGATTAAGGACATGTGTTCAAAGTGGAATGAGTTGCAAAGTTTTGTTGAAAAGTATCTCCCTGACCAAGCTGAAACAAGCCATATCTGCAACATGTTCAGTGACAAAACCTTGTCCCACTTCAGGCAAATCATAAAGAAATGCCAGAAACAGACCTCTGGACAGATATTTTGTGCGACAGGGGTCCAGTGACTCTCAAGATGTTCTCAGTGGCATTAAAAGAAGAAAGGAAGTAACCCCAGAAAAGGACTTGTTACCTGAAGTCCTAATGGAAGGAGATTCTCCTTCTAAACAATAGTGTACACCTTCCTCCTATCCTCTCCTCCCGTCTTCCATCCACCCAGAAGTCTTCAGTAAAGGTAAGTGTAATGTTATTATTATTTTTTATATGCATGTACTTGATTTCTGATTGTTTTCATTATGTAAATCTTTATTTAATTTGAAAAAAAATGTTTTATTTTAATGTTTTTGGGTGTCTGGAATGGATTAATTTTATTTCCATTATTTCTTATGGGGAAAATGGTTTCGAGTTTCGTGAATTTCGACTTTTGGCAGGCTCTCTGGAACGGATTAATCACGAAACTCGGGGTCCATTGTACTCTCTTTTGTTCCTTTTGCCTTTATACAGAGGAACTATGCATATTCTCTTCCAATCCCTAGGTACCTTCCCTTCTTTTTTTATTTTTATTATTTTATTATCACACTGGCCGATTCCCACCAAGGCAGGGTGGCCCGAAAAAGAAAAACTTTCACCATCATTCACTCCATCACTGTCTTGCCAGAAGGGTGCTCTACACTACAGTTTTTAAACTGCAACATTAACACCCCTCCTTCAGAGTGCAGGCACTGTACTTCCCATCTCCAATACTCAAGTCCGGCCTGCCGGTTTCCCTGAATCCCTTCTTTTATACATTTATTAAATAAAAGCACCAACCACTCCAAAACTATATCCCCTCCTGCTTTTAACATTTCTGTCTTGATCCAGTCAATCCCAACTGCTTTACCCCCTTTCATTTTACCCACAGCCTCATGCACTTTACCCACACTCACATCTGGCTCTTCTTCTCTCCTAAAAGATGCTATACCTTTATGGCCAATGCATGAAATCATAGTTTCCCTACTTTCATCAACATTTAACAGTTCCTCAAAATATTCTCTGTCTTGCTGTTACTGCCAACTTCCCTTCTAATAACTCTCCTCTTCTGTTGTTAACTGTCAAATCCATTCATTACCTAGACTTTCTTAACTTATTAATCTCACTTGAAAAGTTTTTCTTATTCTCAGCAAAATTTGTTAACAGCACCCCATCTACTTTCTTATTTGCTCTCTTTTTACATTCCCTTACCACTTTCTTAACCTCTCATTTTCTCTCCATATACTCCTCCCTCCTTATATCATTCCTGCTTTGTAAAAACCTTTCATATGCAAACTTTGCCTCTCATACCACTCTTTACCTCATCATTCCGTCAATTACTCCTCTTTCCTCTCGCACCCACCCTCCTATATCCACAGACTTCTCCTGAACACACTTATACTGCATCCTTAAGTCTACCCTATAACTACTCAACCTCCTCATTATGTATAGTCTCACTATCCCATATTTCTACCATTAGTTGCTTGTATCTTACCCTAACTGCCTCCTCCTTCACCTCTCTCTTACTTGCTGATGCCATTCT